CTGTCAAGAGTAATCCCTGAGCACAGAGCTAGGGGAAAGCTCAGAGTACAGCTAGGTGTGATCCAAAACCATAAAATAACATTCCGTATTTCTTCAGTCTTATAATCTAGTTTAGGGAGCCACACTTGGTAAAGAATTTGACAAAAACATATATATATATATATATATGCAGGCAAGCCTAAATTTATCCATTACACAGAGTGAAAGCTCAATGCATATATCATTTGCTAGATTAAATAAGACTTGACTTTGGGTTATCAAAAATTGTTTCTATGGTTACTATTGCTGACTTAAAAATAAATGCCATTGCATCAAATCCTTCAAGAAAAAAATTGCTAAGTATTACATAATAGTACTGGACAAAAATAGCATGGCCTGAAGTCAGTAATTGCTGTGATCAGGGCTTTTTCTCTCTAAACCAAACCCCTGCCACCTTCTTAAATAGTTGCGAGAGGGTCAGAGTGAGAGCTTAATAGGCTGAGCGCAGATTGTGCATGCAGGAGGCCCAAGTTCCATTCCAGCATGACATGGTCCCCCAGCACCACTGGGAATGACCTCTGAGCAGAGCAGGGAGCAAGCCCAAGCATAGCTAGGTGTGACCCCAAAACAAACAAATGAAAAACAGTTGTGAAGGGAAATGCTTAGCTGGTGTCCCAAAGAGGAGAACGACATGCAAAAGAATGGGCACGTGGCACATTCTGGATATATTCAGAGAACAGTAAATTGCGTTGAATCCAATCAAAGTTGAATCACCAATGCCAATGAATAGAAAAGCTGCACGTAATAGAATGGCAGTATACACAAGGATGTGAAGGTCACCTTAAAAGAGAGAAAAAGAGATTTCATACACCAGAAGAAAAATAATTAAAAGCCCAGGTAATCACTTGCAAAATGCAGCCAGGAAATGTCCTGTCCAAAGAGGCTAGGGTGATTGCCCTTGAGTCTCAGGCAACCAGAAACACTGGAGCAGCATGGAGCTGGCAACACAGGGTACTGCACACTGACACACGAAGACCTGGTCTCAGAACGAAGTGTGCTGGATTCTGGAATCCTGAGTGTGGCTTTTACACTTCACTAACATAGAAACACCAAAAACCTGGAGGGAGTTCTGAAGCAAATAGCAAGGACTATTAAGAAACTTGGAGGAATCGTTTATAAGGGGAGAATTTAGGGAAAGGGTTATAGCCATGGCAATGGGTAGAAAACAGTACAAAATAATAGCCCAGCATGCAAAGCAATAAGGAAAGGCCAGCAAGGGCTTGGCATGGCTGCCCTAAGAGAAACAAACAAAAATAAAAACCTGAAATAGCAGGAAAAACTTAAGACACTAATTAAGCAGGGACATGTAAGCCAAGTGGAAGAGAATGTATGACCTCAAAGGAGACGACTAGGGAATAAAATATATATATAACCTTTCAGGAAATGTTTCCAGTCTGCAAGTACACAGTGCTAGAGGAAGATTTCTTGGCATTGAAGACCAATTCATTTTTTTCAAATCAGAACACTAAATTGAATATGGATAAGGTGATGCTGATGATAATATTTACAGTGGCAGAATTTAGCAAGTTGTTATATGCCGGGCACTGTTGTACATGTTTTACACGTGCATTAAGTCACTTAATCCTCACAGTGGTCCAGTAAGTACTAATAGTAGTAATGGTAATAGTAGCAGTAGTAGTATCATCTTCTTCATAGCGCTAAAGAAGAAGGAGTAGAGGTAGAGAGGGTCAGGCTGTGTCAGAGAGCTCGCACATTACAGAGCCAGGATTTGAACATAAGCAGCTGGCTCCAGGATTTATCTTCCAAATCAGTATGTTCTGTTGCTTTGAAAACTAGAGAGGAAAGTGGAACAAACCCCTGGGGAGGAGAAGCAGGCCAAAGGAAAGAGTTGCCCAAGGTTATTACATGGAAGGTTCCTGGAAACGGTCCCCTTCTGAAGTAACATCCGTGGGGTGAGGCCATGGTCTGATGCCTGTGACTACATGTCACATGTCTTGTGAGAAGCAAAAAATCATCTTGTGGGTTCTCTGAAAAGGTGGTTAGTCTGTGACGACAAACTCCCCTCCTTAGGAGAATTCCTAATGCAAGTCATCAGCCCAGAGGGAAATCCTACATCAGTCATATCTCATGGGAGATTCTCTGATGCTTTGCCCTACACGCTTATTACTGCTCAGGGGCCTTGGTGTATCCTCAGAGTCTAAACATTTGACCACTTGATTGATTCATAGATTCAACATAGAAACATTTATTGAACAAATAAACGTCACCAAATTTCTCAGATTTGAGCAACTCTTCAGAGAAGTCTGATGAGAAATATCAGTTTCAGCATCTCTGAAATTAAATTCCTTGGAAACATTCAGACGAAACTGACTTTTATGGTTATCTTGCAAAGAAATACATCAAATCTTAAAGTCTAGAACTTGTATAATCCTTCCAGAGATGAGATGGAGATCCTTGAACTCCCTGGAACTTTTGCTGGGGGAGCCAGTTTAAGAAATGAAACCCTTGAGCTGTGCGCAAGGAAGTTGGGGGTGCAGAGATGAGACAAAGGCAATATTTATCTTCACATCTTTATAGCTGACACTCTGGTGGAGTGATGGTGCTAGAACATCTGTGTATTAAATGTTCCTGTTTACAGTATTTTAAATCACAATGCCTAAAATAATAATGATAATAATATGGGGGGGGCAGAAAAGCTTTATGGTTGAGAAGGTATCTGGTCTTATTTATGCAAATGACCACACTACAACTAAGAACAGGGAAATGACACTTTAGTGGCAGAGATAAAATGCTTTGGACTGGGGCAAAGGCAGGGTGTTGAATGGTATATGCTCTGGCTTTGATGCCTAGAGAGAAAGTTGGAGAGAATTGCACAAGCAAAAGCAAAGCTGGTGCTATGGATGTTTAATGGAGAAGTGAGAGATGGAGCTAAAAGGAGAGAAATTTTGCAATGATTCGGGGAGAGCCTTGACAGGCACATTATTCAGTCAAACTTGATTCTGCAGGAAGATCTATCAACCTTTGTGATAAGAGGGTTATGTATTTGGAACTGATCTTTTAGATCAGGCAGTGATCCAGGACCAAACTGGAGCTTGCAGAAACCGGCCAGGAGACAGAGACTGAACAGCCCAAGAGCTCAGTAGTCTTCCTAAATATAACTTCAGGTGGCAGTAGGTGCTTAGCAAAGGAGCAAAAGATCTGGTAGAAGTAGGGAAGGCTGGATTGTCATCCTGGTTAACCAGGAAGGTGATAGATAGTGCCATGCATTGAATTGAAGGGAACCTTCAGCGAGAAGTAAATTTGGAGAGGAAAATAATTTCATTTTTGATGATACTCAGATGTTTGGTGAATACACATGAATACACATATAGATGCATATACATAAATATATATATATAAGTGAAAGCAGCTAAGCCACAAAGACATTTACATATTGTACATTGAATCAGAAATGTGTGCTTCATGAGTGATGTCAATAAATTGACATGGTTTGGGGATCAGTTTTCACCATTCAAAGCATATCTGGCCAGGAACTAGCTTCTACTTATATCTGAGTGCAGCTTCTACTTGTATCTTGTAAAATTGCCTGATGAAGTTAGACAGTAGCTTTGATAAAGTTATCATCCAGCTGCCATAAGACATAGATCTCCTAAAAAGGAAGATGACAGTCTTTTTCAAATGAGAAAAAATTAAAACTTGCATTTTGTGTGCATGCTGTAAATGTATATGGTATTTAAGACACATGTACACCCCTACATGCATATATAAAATACAGATTTATCTGGTCCCTTATAGCAAAGGAGAAGGTTATTATAATATCAGGTTTATCTGAAACAGTGCTTGTTAGTCCATATTTTCCTGATCTAATTGCTAATAATTATCAGTAACACCCTCTCTTTCTTTAAATGGTGCCAATGACATTTATTGATACCCTTCTGATAGTTACAAAATATTGAACTTTGCAATCTCTCTCATTTTATTCTCAGTTTCTCTCTCAAAAGAGTCAGCCTTTTTGGATGTGAGTTGGCCAATTTACAAATGTAAGGTCCTTCTAGTAGCTTTTAACAAAGAGTAGCAGAATGTTTGCACACATATATAATAATGTTATAATGCCTCTCCTCACTCTCTACCTTCTCCCCCTCACCACAGACAGACAGACAGACAGACAGACAGACAGACAGACAGACACACACACATACACACACACACGGATCCATGGATCAGACCCAGGGCTGCACACACGTGAACCATAGGGACAGGTTTCACCGCTGGGCCACATCCCGGTCTTTAATGTAATTCTATAAAAGCATATCTATGTGATAGGTCAGCGCTGCCAAAAGTTTTGATTTGCCAGTAGTCAGATATCCACATTGGTACAAAACATGTAACAGAAACACTCATGACATAAAATGCATGTGACAGGAAAAGAAAACCCCTGACTATGCCCTGCCAAATGGAGTTTTCTCTAGATTTGGGGATTTAGAAAATGTGTGCTCTATGATTATGTGAAACTAAAGACAAGCTTTTTAATATAATTTTCACAATTCACAACTCTCAAACTGCAAGTTGGGAATTTTATTTTATTTCAAAGACAGAACCTGCAGTTGTCCAGTGTTTGCCTGGTGGGAAGAATCCAGACCTCACATTGGCTTCTTTTCTGATTTCTACATCAACTTAACGTAGGCGTTCATTCAGCTCCTAACCCAGTAGAACCACAAGAAACAGATGCATCCAGAGTACCAGGAACATTAGGGTGATTTCATTGAACTGCAATCCAATTACTTAGGTGCTACTTTTATTTAGAAGGAAGTACGTGTGCGCTCGCATGTGCTTTTGCCAAAACATTGGAGAACTGCACTAATATTTTGGCAGCTACTGTTACCTAGCTTGACTGTCGTTTCACTCTCTGTTTCAAGCCAGGCTTTCATGCTCATACATTTATGAATTTATTTATAATTAATCATTTAATATGAGAAAATAATCCTTTTTTTCCATTGCAGCCTTTTTTGGAAAATACCTCAATGAATATAATGGCAGCTACATCCCTCCTGGGTGGCGAGAATGGCTTGGATTAATCAAGAATTCTCGTTTCTATAATTACACTGTTTGTCACAATGGCATCAAAGAAAAGCATGGATTTGATTATGCGAAGGTAATTTTCAGCCACTTTTACACTGCATCAATTTACTTTGTGCATAATGGGGAAAGACATTTTCAGTGAGCTAACCTAAGCACCACAAGACTTGCTTTCTATGTTCTCACAAAGTTAGAATGAAAAATTTTAAGGTAATTTTAAACTCTTGGCAAGAATGAGACTCTGGGAACACTGACTGCACAGTGATTTTTTCCCCACTCATTAGGATGAAAGGCAATCAGCCTTTGCTGAAAGAATCTTCAGGAACAAAATAGATGCCTCTGCTCTTGCGATAATTTTTGGTTTTCTCCTCCCCAGCCCCCCAGTATTTGTCCATATAATTATGTGTTCATCTTGTACTGTTTTGCTTTTCAGTGGAGTGAAAGTATAGTTTGTCTGTAGCTTCAGATTTTGATGTAAGAATAAGAGCAGACAGGAGTAAGATCAAAGGTTGAGAAACCACTTTCCTTGTTTTTACTCCTGTTGGACCAAGCTTGGGTATGTGACGGAAACACCTGCTCCACACATTCTCAAAACTGATCAGTCCTAAAATCGCCAAATTAGTTCATCGAAAATGAAATCAACATGTCCCATGAGTCTCTAACAAATGGATCCCAATTTTGATACTGTCATTTTGACTTTACAATTCACAAAGGTTTTTGAGATTGCCAATTTAATATTCAGATCATCAGGGTGAAAGTGAAAATAGCTGAATTTAGCTTGCTAATTTACCTAAAAATATCCTCTTCCCTTCTAGCTCTGCCCACCACTTCTTCCTCATTTACCTAAAAGAATCCAAGGATCTGCTCTATGTAGCATAGATCACTATGAAAGAGCTGTTGGGAGCACCCGAAAAAGGGGACTTGATGTAATTTTGGCTCATTGTTATCTTTCTGCTTGAGCTGATTTGAGCACTGGGGACTTGGTGGGAGATAAGGTGTAAGTTTCTTCCCTTTGTAGCTCTCAGAAAACAATGAATGTAAATGAATTCACAAACATTGCTAATAGGTTTCCAGACTCATCAAACTTGAGAGTTGGTGGGGACCTTGGCGGCAGATCTGAGCTACTTTCCACAAAGGGCACTAATTGACACTGCTATCATTTTTTATCTGTGGGGATGCTTTTCATGCTCCTCAGTCAAGCTATTAACCTTTCTTTCCCTGTTGTCCTAAGGAGTGCAAAATAATCAAGATTCCTTCCAAAGACTAAATCAGCGTAACTTGCCCATTATCACAGCTGATTAAGTGTCAAAGACAACTGTGTCCAGAAAGAATATACATCTTTTTTTAGTGAGGAAAGGAATGAAACGGACACTCCCATGGAAGGAGGTGATAGCCTGTGGACTTGTTCTAACAATGACACATGTGACCCAGATTTTGGCCCTTCGGCACTGCTTTTGCAGCTGTTCTGGTCCTTGAATCTATATGTGATTAGTCATGCCTGGCAGCTTCTGACACAGTGAACACAGCCTGGGCACTTTCTCAGTAAAGTTTATGCTGAAGTTCCAGGCCAGTGATACACATGCAGAAGGAGCAGGTGGTTTAATTTAAGTTTTCATCTTTCCTTTTAATTCCGTTTCCTCCCTCTCTCTTGTACTTGCATCAGCTCCCCCAGACGGCGGGTTAAGTCATTTTATTAACAAGTCGGCTCTAATCCCAGCAGCTGTATCATTTTAGTTGTGCAATTAACAGAGTATAATCTGCAGGAAATCAACAGCTCCCCGTATTTTGTGTTTTGACTCCATTGATAAACTACTGCAGTGTTCCCCCTCCACACCCAGAGTTTGGCCATGCTTTGATGAGAGATGATTGTGTAATTTTCCTACCAGTGACTTTTTCGTTTAAGAGGGGAAACCCTCCCCAACCCCAAATTCCAGAACGTTTTATTTGATTGGTGCACTTGTGTTTGTGTGTGTTCTACAGCTGAATTCGCGGTGGGTATGGGTGTTTCCTGCTCTTGAAGTAATTAAATTTTTTTTTGTCAACACATTACATCAGTGAAACCTGAGAGGGAAATATGTATCCGGTGTTTTGTGAGTTCTAGCATTGAGATCACCAGATCTGGTCCTTATCTGGAGCAAGCAGGCCTTGGGATTTTTTCCCCCCCTAACTGCAAAACTGCACACCACTGAAAATAGTTTTTTGGCATGTTTCTAAGCTAGCCACCCTACAGAGTCACTGTAGATGGATTTTCTCTGTTATGGAAGATGTTTTGCTGTGTTAGGAAGTCACCTCCCTTCCGTCATTAGATGTGCACTGTTCATTCAGTGAGTTGCTTCTGAGGATATACAGTATTCAGATGTGAACTGATGAATGTCACCTTTTGTAATTTTTGTTTTGTGTCAAATGTATGTTTCAGGACTACTTCACAGACTTAATCACTAACGAGAGCATTAATTACTTCAAAATGTCTAAGAGAATGTATCCCCATAGGCCCATTATGATGGTGATCAGCCACGCTGCGCCCCACGGCCCTGAGGACTCAGCTCCACAGTTTTCAAAACTGTATCCCAATGCTTCCCAACACATGTGAGTAATGATGTCAGTTCAGGGGGACGTTGACTACTGAGTCCTTCCTTTGTTCCCCACCTTTCCCCTACCCTCTCTCCCTCACCCTGGTTTCCTCCTCAATGCACATCCATAAAGGAGAACATGTTCGTCTGCTATGCAATCACAGAGTGGCATGTTACAGGTCATGGAACCTGCAACAGAACTTGACTCATGGGTTGCTTAGGAATCACATTTCTAATGTTGGTTAGCAGCTGAGTGGAAAGGAAGGGAAGTAGTAGGGAAGCGTGAGTGAGGGTGATCTCATGGGAGTTCCCTTTAGTTGTTGAAAATAACAGTCAGGGCTGGAATGATAGTACAGCCAGTAGGGCATTTGCCTTGCACGCGGCCAACCTGGGTTCGGTTCCCAGCTTCCCATATGGTTCCCCAAGCACCGCCAGGAGTAATTTCTGAGTGCAGGAGCCAGGAGTAACCCCTGTGCATCTCTGGTGTGACCCTCCAAACAAAAGGAAAAAAGAAAAGAACAGTCACGAATATGTTCTAATGATCATAAAAATCAAATACAGCATGCATTTCCTAGCAGCTAGGGATGAGACACAAGAAAAGAAATTCACCAATGCTTGCAGTCCCTGGCCTTCTCTTGGAAACAAGGGTTTATTTTTTAGGCGTATAGTGCAGTGCTTTTGCTGCAGAGCTTGAGTATTCTTACCCAGGGATCCTTGGCAGGTCAATGCTTTAAAATAACCTGATGTTTCTCTGAAAGGCAGGTTCAGGGGCAAGGTTTGTTGGGGGGTGGAGGGATGCGGGGCTGTGTTAGGAGTCACAGGGAGAGGGCTGATGAAACTGAGAGCTACATCATGCTGGCAACCCTCACTAGCCAGGGGTGGACAGACTGCATGCTTTGGCAGCAAGAACCTGCTTTTGTTTTTCGCTCTGTCGACACATTCTTCTCCCCATCGATGTGCTGCAATAGTGTAGCATGCAGAGCAGCCCTCCTCTAAGAGTACAGCCACCTTAGAAGTAAGAGAGAGGGAATTGATACCAGTAAACCTCCCAGATTGCTTTTTAATCTTTTGAGGCTTAAATGCCTCTCTTTTCATCTCACTAATTTTTCTTGCCCAATCCCAGATAGAAAGAAAATAGATGAAGCATACTCTCTTATGAAAATAGAGAAGTAACTGCTGAAGGCCCAAATACCACGTCCTTATGTAACCCTGCAGAACTTTTTCTTTATCTTCTTATTTTGTATTTTATGACCAATAAACTGATAGCCTCTGGATAATGATGGTATTTAGGCCATGTCTACCATAGCAAGTGATTTAGCAAGAAGGAAAGACTTCAGAGCTAATTGAGGATGGAGTTACTGTTAAATGTAAATATAGCATGTTTTACATATTGAGTATACCCACGAATAATGAAGGGAGGAGGTGTGTTAGTACATAAAATTATTATCCCAGAATTTGGGGACTAGGGTCTAACAAAGACACCATGTTTTAGAATCAGCTTTATGAGAAAAAAATATCAGTGTCTGAAAAATCCATCTTACACAGAACCATACAGCTGAACACATGAATAAAACCAGTATGGCAAGTAGCTCTCCTTACATATCACCTACGAATTTGGTGCCTGGCTGATCCAATGAAAGGGAAAGGTCTTTGCAGGCTTCTACAATGTCACCTTTCCCTCTTAATTGAGTCAGAAATCACTTTGTAGAGCCTTCTTTGCAGCATGATCTGAATCTCAGTCTACAGTGACTTTCCACAACCACCAACCTTACCATTGTTTCCCCAAACTTGAGGGGCTGACAAAAACATGGTATTTTATGGCTCTTGAGAAGCCAGACTGACTTTGAAGTTTTAAGGCGAGGACCTGAGCCTATAGGAAAATCAGCTGTAGATCAAGAGGTTCTGACATCTCAGTGACATGCACAGACAATAATCACACAAGGAACCTTCAGTGTTCTCAAGGAACTCAACAATGGCTAAAAGGAAAGGAGGGAGAGAGAGAGAAAGAGAGAGAGACAGAGACAGAGAGAGAGAGACAGAGAGAGAGGAAGGAAGGAAGGAAGGAAGGAAGGAAGGAAGGAAGGAAGGAAGGAAGGAAGGAGTTGAAGGCATTTCTGATTGCAGCAATTAAGATCTTTTTAGTTTCACAACTAAATTTCTGAGCACCACCTATGATGTCATACAGCACAAGAAGAAGAAATTGGAGAACCAATCAGCTAAGTCAAAGCCACCTGACCCCAACTTTTTAAAATAAGGTTTTATGAAGTGCAGGCCACACTTTTATGTATATGTGATTTATATTATCAATGGCTATTTTCATATCACAACAGAATTAATTAATTGTGGCAGATACCATATGATCTTTAATGTCTAAAATATTAACTATAATGATCATTTATAGAGTAAGTTTGTCTCAAAGCCCGTTTGAGGGGGTGGTTTGAACAATGTCCAAATAACAATGTCCCCAGTAGAATTATAAGTGTTAGGCTCTGGAGAAGGTTTTCAAGGCAGTGAAATGACACTTAGAGAAAGAAGTGGAAGTATTTAAAGTGAACCTTGAAGGATCGGTAAAATTTCTGCAGTGGCTTCTCCAGATAATGGGTGGAGACTGAGGAGTTGATTTGGGAAGAGTATGTGGCCTAGACACATGTTCAGCATGTGAGGAGATGATCTGAGGTGTCCATGGCTATTGTAGGGGTGGTGTGCAAAGCAAGTGACAGGGGATGGAGCCTGACAGGAGCCCTGCAGACTATTAAGGTTTTGGTGAATTTGTTTCTACCCATCAACAGAGAGTCCCTTGGAGATCTTAGTATAGTAGCAACAGTATAATGTGATCTACTCATTTTCACATGTAAATCTGTTCCTTTTTTAGTTCAAATGAACCATTGCTTCTCTGATACAAAATCTACACTGGACAGAGTAAAAAGAACATAGCTTAGAGGTTATCCCCTTGTCAGGAACAGAAATTTTCCTGTGGACAATTTCTTTCAACTCTCAGATCCCCTTTATCCAATCTGTAAAATGGGGGTAATACTCTCACCTTAATAGGATGTCATGAATAAAAATTAAAAGAGGAAACAGAACTAAAAATCTCCATCCAGGATTAAGACAGAGAAGCTATATCATAGAGCAAACATTTTTGATTTTGAGTGTGTGTAGTGGTGATCAAACTCCAGGCCTGATACATGTAAGACAAATAGAAGCCAATTCTCCTTCATCTGTAAACTTTGTAAAACTGCCAACATTTGTTTTTTTTTTCTTGACTCCTCCACCCAAAAATCCACTTAGTTGAAACTTAGGGGGAAACAGCTGGAGAAAGGACAAGTTGGGGCTTGCCCATTGTGACATGACAAATCTCTTGACAAGCTAAGACCACATTGTGATGAGTGCCTTGCACCTGGTCATTCTACAAACACAAACAGGATAAGTGCCAATCTGGGCTATGTTTTCTTGCATCCAGGTGCAGAATGTGTGTGCTGGGAGGGGAGAACACCCTTTGCTATAGAAAATAAAAATTCATGTGGTCATTGAGGGATTCAGCCTCTCTTTGCTGTTAAGCCTTGGGCTTTGGGGCACCTACAATGTGTAAATGTGCTGTCTCGCGTGGGTCTTGGGAGCCTGGGTTCCTGACATCTTTGCTGCAAAGGGCTTCCTGGCCACTGTCGCTGCTGGCGAGAGTCCGGGTGGCTCTCTTGTCACTCTGAGTGACTGCGCAGGTTCACAGTTCAGTCCATAGACAAAGGGGGCGAGACCAATCGAAGACAAGCTGCCAATTGTAGCACAGAGAGCTACTGAATAGCTGGTCTCCTTAGTGAAAACATGAGCAAAACATTCAAGCGAAGGGATGCAAGCAGTTAAGCGCTTTGTAAAGATATTTGGCAGGACCTGTGAAAACAGAGCAAGGAGCCGGACTCTCGCCCCTGGTGTGGGGACACGAGGAGCATGAAAGCGTGTATCCCTGTAGGTCTGTCCTCGGTAGTCAAGCATGATCCAGAGGCCTTTCATCCAGCCCCGGGTTAGAGCTGCACAACTTCCCCGGCCTGGCGCACACGTATCACACTTCCACAGTGATGTCTGTTCCCAGCAGAGGAAGGAAGCAGGCCAGCACTGGCATGCTGCTCCACAAACCGAGGCTAGAGGTTATGCCTACCAAAGAAGAACGAGAGCGGATTACCAACCCCTCGTGACAGCAGGGACTACTTAATCACACAGACCTCAACCACTCATGACCTCTGAGAAATCTGACATCATAATCCTATGCTAAAGCCCTTCACGATAGCCCAGCCCCCCTCATGCTTGTCAATAATGTATCCCCCCATCCTCATAATAATGTATTCTATGCTCACTCGAACGTTCCTTCTCTCTTATGGTCTTAGAGATGTGATCATCTGCCACCAGTGGACCAGATTGTAGGAAAAAAGATTTGACTCTCCATGTGATGATTTTATAGAGAACGAAGATAATCTTATCACTTTCCTGTGAACTATGCCTTGTCACTTAAAAATAGTGGGGCCAGAGAGAGTACAAGGTTTAGGGTTCAGGGGCTGGAGCAATAGCACAGCGGGTAGGGCTTTTGCCTTGCACGCGGCCAACCTGGATTCGATTTCCAGCATCCCATATGGTCCCCTAAGCACCACCAGGAGTGATTCCTGAGTGAGTAACTGCTATGCTTCTCCGGGTGTGACCCTCCTCCCCCCAAAAAAGGTTTAGAGTTCATGCCTTGCACGTGACTGAATCTTGCCCTGTGTGCTCCCTGCAGCATTGCAGGGAGGCCCAGCTAATCCCTGGCACTGCAGGGCCTGAGCAGCGTGCATCCTCGGGTCCTTGTATTGGACTGAGTTACCAGTCCATTTGGCTGAGTGTCACCTCCTGAGTCGGCCTCCTGAGCACCGTTTGAAAAGCCCCTACCCAATTTTTTGTTCCATATGAACATTTTTCCCCATTCCTGAAAAAAGAAAAAGTCTTATTATGTGCATGCACACACACAAAAACACAGAGCCTCCTTGAAGTGAAATC